TCTAAGACTCAAGTAATTATGGTGGCACGTCACATATGAAAGACTTTACCTATTCTATCACCCTCATATCAATAAATATTACTACTGCTGATTTTCAACATATAATCATATACATAAAAAATAGCGTAGTGATAAGATAACAGCCTTATGGGATATCAACACCAGACTAGGAGTCATAGCATGCACCCTAATATAATTATTATTTATAGTACATACTGAAAGATTGTACCTTTTTTTATGTTAGACGAGCAGAATTAATTTAATTCATGTGGTGATGGATTAATAATACAGTGTCATTACCCCTATTCAATCCGTGGGTGTCGTAAGAGACGACTAAAGGCTCACTACACCAACTCGCAACCCGACCAGCACTACCTCGTCACTCGGTGTCCAATAGTTGTCCACGGGTGGCCCATGGGTGGATGCCACGTTCTTTACTCAGAACACGATACGACAGATACTTCGGTCGGTAGGCTCTAATGAACTATGATCTTAAGGGAGTAAGCTACGCAGGACAACATCACCGCAAAGAGAAGGAAAACTTGAAACAAACCGCCAGTACTGTATACTAAGCCAAACCCTCCTTTCTAGGGAGAGGCTTTATGACCAGCGGTGGACTAAAAGGCTATTGATAAAAAACATGTAGATATTAAAACTTATGTTTATAATAATATAATAGGAAAATATGTTAATAGAAATATCTATTGTAATATAGACTATACGGCACTAAATTCTTGTTAATAATTTTTAAATACAAGATATTAAGATCTAAACAATCATTTCAATGTCCAAATCGTGGTTTAACAATGTAATATTCAAGTGTACAGCAAAATAACAGCAAGTCGAGTGTAGAAGTTAGTTTATGACCTCAAATTATAAATTATTTTTCTTACATTCTTACCATAAATAAAAACAAATAAAATATAAACTGACTAATTAAATATCCCAAAGCTAAATATTCTCAATAAAATACTGTTACTAGTCAAAGCCATACATTCCTTTATGTTCTAACAAAATTAATTAAAATTATTCTGCTCGTACCATACTACTCTATTAATAATTCTCTTCATAATAAATTTCTTAGATCATAGTAATTAAATATAATATATTGAAAAATTGAATAATGTAGCCGTGTAAAAAAATCCAGGATGAACAGTAATGATTGTTAAAAAAAATATACACTATATACATATACTATATACACTATAACTTTCACCAGCCTGCTGGTCTAGTGGTCTACCAAGCTAGAGGCAGTGAGTAGCTCCAATTCCCACCTTTTTTTTTTCCCTGGCATGTCGGACACGAACCGACTAAAACCGCACGCCGTCTCGGGTACTAATAGCCGGGGAACCAGGTATACCCTAGAAAGGAAGTCCCTGGTGCCCCGGCATACCTCGGGCCATCTACAGACAAGTAGACGACCCCCCCCTCCGTGTGGGAACCCCATGTTCCTTCTGCTCCCTGGAAGCGAGCGCGCTTCGCAACACGCTCGCCGCCACCCCGGCCTGCTTCTGCTAGGGTGACAGATGGCCTCACCTGTCAACCTCAGGCTTGCTCTTATGGAGGACGGAGATAGTTCTGCGACCTCCGGCGCCTGAGTCGCCTGCGGTACCTGGCCCGTTCCCGGGAGGGAACGGCCGGGAGAGTTCTAAACCTATCCCGGTCCCGCTCCGCCGTCTCCTTTGCGAGCATAACTTGCGGCGGCGGCAGAGTTCCACGAACTCTCGCTCCGCACGATAGCCGCAATCAGGCTATCGAGCGAGAGAACTCCCACTCCGATGGCCGCCACGAGGTCTCGCCTCTGCTCAACCCACGCCGGGAACTCTGCCAGCATGTGGAGAGCCGCGTCCACGGTCTGGCCATCGCAGTGGTAGCACTCAGGCGTTGGCTCCTTGCGGATCAGACACAGGTGATCCCCGAAACATCCTTTCCCAGTGATCACCTGCGTCAGTCGGTATGAGAGGGTCCCGTGAGGCCTCTCGAACCAATCCTCCATAACGGGTCTTATCCGTCCGCGATGACGGCGTGCCCGTCCAATTCCCACCCTGGACAAATAGTTTTGTGTGTGACACAATCAAGTGTTCTGTGTCTGAGTGTAATTTACTTAGAATATACATATATTTAGAAATATATACGTATGTTTATCAGCAACCTGGCAATCATAGCACAGCCTCTCTCTAATTTGGGATCAGATGGCATTGTGTTAAATGTGTCGCGTTATTATTATATTCCGTTCAATCAGATAGACTCACCGATATAATAGGATTGCAAGGGTTCTTAGCTTAATTACGGAACAATTTAATTGATTGCATATATCTATATAAATCGAATATTAATACTCGGATGCTATCTGAATACAAATTGATCTTGGTTTGTACAAATTAAAACCATTTATATGCAGCCGCTGTCGACTAATATAAATAATTCCATATAGTGTAATTAGTAATCCCACCAAAAACATTTTCATGTAAAATGTTGCCAAGACGAGACCTGCTAAAAAAGATATCAGAGAGGTGTAGAGTTTGTGAAATTAGGGCTCGTAGCTTGGCTCTACATGAGATCTGATAACTTTTTGATAGTGCAAGACATTTTATGGTCTATCTTGGCAACATTCTACATGAAAATCTTTTTGGTGGGATTTCACTTCCTTTTGTAAGTTCCTTATGAGATTAGTTTTTTATTTTATTTTCTGTTGGACGCAATCTCACGCCGCGCGGTTACACATTAGACGTTTTGAAAAAGACTATAAAGCGGTTCGAGAAACGGTATGTAGCGCCCTTCCTCTTCGCTTGTCTCATCTTGGCTGGATCACTACCGTACTCAAATATACCATATAGTATAAATATCAAAACAACTCCTCTATATTAAATAAAGTGTTTCACATATATATTTCCTTAAATATCCAAAAAGTTTTCCATACGACTCTAAACTATTATTGCATAACTGATCATAGGTAAAAGATGAACTTTCGTCTCGTTTGCAGTTTTATTATCATAGTTGTACAATTTTCTACCATCGCTACCATCGAGAGACACATGGAGATAATCTGCAATATATCCTTACTGCTGCAATAAACAGTAGCACCTAATATAGTTATTATAGCTCCAACAGATAACACTGTTCAGCTAGTTAAAGACTTGAAGGGGAAGTCAATTCGTAACAAGTGGGCGCTAAACAAGAAGTGGTCACCTGAGCCCGCGGCTATCACAAAGTTTTTAGAAATTAACATATTTTCTTGTTTGCATCTCAAATAAAATCACTGTGTACTATATGAATTTCAATTTTAACTTTATTGCACTGTGTCTCATTCATTACAGAGTTCAAAACTTGAAGAGGTCTAGGTCTCAAGCCATGTTATCGCAATATTACAAGATCAGCGAAAGCTGCAGTACAGTGCATTGCAGATTTGTGGAAATTATTTAGCGTTTATTAGTTAGCGCTACATACATTATAACATTTTTTGCATTTATAAATATTATGATCATATAATTAGAATACTTCACGTCACTAGTTAGTAATCACATCAACAGCCTTTAGGAGTCAACTGCTGGACATACGAGTAGAAGTCACAAGTTACCTCTCCTTAGAAAGGAGGTTGCGAATATCTAGCTTAAATCAGTTCTACAACCCACATCAACCATGAAACAACATTATTGAATTTTTCCTTATCTTCAGTATAAAACACATTAAGCATATACATATAGTAAGCAGCTACCGTAGTTTACCAACACTTTTGAGACAATTGTAATAACGTATATTAATGATTGGTAACTGTATTAGGTATGAGCTCTCCGTGGGTGGTTCTCCGGTGGCGTTTGACAGAGAAACGATTTTTATGCTATTTTATTTTTGTTCTTGATTAAATCTTTATTTTGGTAATTTCATTAAAATGACTTAAGCAGTGTGATTCGTATTAATCTTATTTTCAGTAGCTGTCCCCCTATTTGCATATTATTGGCTTAGCTTAGCGTCTAGTTTAATCGACGTATACATTGACATATGAGTAAAAAACCTAACTAATTTCTTTAGTCATGTATTTCGCTATATTAATGTTTTTGTTCAATATGTTTCATTCGAAATGAGAATGCATATGAATATTGATGGATCTAATCGGTCATCTGAAACAAACTTCCACCAAGTTTACGTGTACGAAACTTATCAGTCAAACTATATATCATGTATGGAATGGATTAACGATTTCTGTAACCGAAGGGCGAAGATAAGATGGGTGGATGTGATACTATTTCTCAGTTATAAATTAATTTACTTTCTTTCTTTCTTCGATATGAATATTTGAGCTTGAACTAACTTTTCTAAAAGTAAGTTCGCTGAAGAAAACATCTATTGATTTAATAATTTATTATCCATCGAAAGCTATATCTTTTTGCTTAATTAATTCCAGCCAGTCATTACTAAGTACAAAGGTGATTTATATTCTTTACTAACATACTTACAAAAATTAATAAATTTATCTGTTCTAGTCAATTTATTTTTAGTTATAAAAATCATCTTGTGTAGCCTTTGACATAATTTTGTTGTTATGAGCGCATTAAATTTAAGAGGCCTATTTTTTTATTTTCAAATATATTTATATGAATATATTGCATGTTACTGTCTATGTACAGGATAGGGATTATGTAATAGACCAAAAAGCTTATTTATATATTTTTATTGAGATTCATTTAGTTTTTAGTGAAACTGTTTATACTTCAAACTACGTAGAATTTTCACACCAAGAGAAGAAAGCGAAAGACATACGAAGAATTACGAAATAAAATTAAAATTCCAAATAAAATAGTAATGTTAAGTGGCTTTAGTAACGTTTATTCCACATGGGCTACCTGTTTCTGTGTATTCGTTGTAATAAAAACTATCATCATCAGATTTTTCACTCGCTCAAAAGTGACAATATGCTGTTTAGTGCTCCTTTCAAAACTCAGTTTTTGAAGAAATTGAGTTATACTTAAATGATTAGTTTTAAAGAAGATTATTTCTCTCACCTAAGACGATCCATATGACTAGAGTATTCCCCACAACAGCAAGCAGTAGCATGATGGCGAAGATCATATACCACGCCAGTTGTCCCCACCATGGTAGGCTGAATGGCCTTTCTCCCAGGCCCATGCAATTGCTAAGAGTGATCCTGTAACAATAACATTGGAATTTACAATAATAAAACATTTTACAACGTATCAAAACCATATTTATCTACATATATATAATTCATGTTATAATCAACCATTATTTTTTTCTACCACTAGGCCTGTTGGTCTAGTGGTTAGTGACACTGACTGCTAAGCTAGAGGTCGTGAGTTCGATTCCCACCCAGGACGAATATCGTGTGATGAGCACGGTCATTTGTTCTGTGTCTGGGTGTAATTTATCTATAATCTGTATGCATTTAAAAATATATAAGGATGTTTATCAGCAGTCTGATTACCATAGCACAGGCTCTGCCTAGTTTGGAATCAGACGGCCGTGTGTGAGATGTGTGAGGTATATATTCTCGAGGGATTTAAAAAAAAATCTTTTTTTTTTCTAAGTGAAAAACCAAAATCGCTTTCAAAATTGATTTCGTTTACAGCTCAGTTATCAATTTGGCTTTTTTAATTAATTAAGTTAATGTTTTTACGTTTTAGTGTCATGTAAAACTAGGAATTCGTTAAGACATTTTCATTTCCTAATGTGAATGCTACCAAATACTTATGTTTTAAACTAAAATTATTGATTGGAATAAGAGTATTAAGTAATAGGACTAATTCTTCTGTAAAACACCGAATATGACACTCAACGAGTCAAAGAGGGTGAATGTAAATGTCTCCTTTCGACACGATAATTTAACACAAAATAAATAAATAAGTAAATAAATAATAAAACAACTTTGTACGTGGTATTTTGTTAAAAAAATATTGTTCCAGAGTCTCCAGAACCTTTACAAGTAAATTAATGCTGCGTCATATTGCGACTCATACTTTGTAAGTTAAGGTTGAGTTGTAATAAATGATTCCTTGAGTGGGCTTTGAGATTAAATAAATAATAGCTTACAAAATCACACACTTTCACAAGGATAAATTTTATTTGGAGTCGAGTTACAGTCAAGCAATATTAGATTGGATTAATAAAGTAAATAAAAGAAAAGTGCACACATTTATTGTAAAATGTATTGAAATTTTTAATATGCCTCTGTCTACCCTTTCAGTAATAAAAAAGTGAGTGTGTTATCATTATTTTTTTGTATGGTTTTAAAGAGTTTTTATTGAAAATCCTAATGTTTTGGATAAAAATCGTACGAGTATATACCAAGTCAGCAGCTTTGTGTAATTTTCGGTCAAAATCGATGTTATATTTATTACATTAGACTTTCTAAAATAACATAATAAAGTAACTGACTTTAAATTACGATATATTACTTCGAAAAACTGTAATATTAAAGTAAATGTTACAAATTCGCAATATCGATATAAGCTACATTAAAAGTTAAAGATTATATTATCATAAATTAATCATAACTCATAAACCGATTTAAGCGGCGTACAATGGGAGAGGCCTATGTCCAGCAGTTGGTTATGATAGACTGATGATGATGAGTATAATTAAATTTAGGTGGTCCAAAAATTTTATTTTAAATTTAAAACATTTGAAGGAGGATTCACGGTGCAAGAGAACTAAATTGGACCCCCTTATGGAGTAATCTGTTTTTAACGGGCTAAGATTACTCCCTAAAGGGATAGTTTGTCGTAAGAAACAATTAACATTTAGTAAGCAAAGAAGAAATCAGAGCAGCGATACCTATAGCTTTTTATTGAGAATTGCAGTAACCCCATTAAAAAGAAGAATAAAGATTTGATCAACGGACATAAATAAGTATATCCCTATTTTGGTACTAATTGATAATGGAACACAGATCATAGTAATATTTATCAGGGTAAACCCTATTTCATTCATTTTAGTAACAGAATGAATATAACAGAAATACCCAATTAATCATTGATTTACTCACATGTTGCGAACAAAGTAATGTTTGACGGTTTAACATTGGGTCCACTGAACGTAATATAAGTGCTTCTATTGTACAGCTGCAAACAGGGTCAAATTTCATTACTCGGTAAATTGAATAAGCGTTCAGCGCCCTTCACTGTGATACTCTGTAGTAGATAAATTACCACCTCAAAGCTTTTTAAAAGAATCTGCTAGCCGCTAACACGTTTTATCATGAGCGAGCATAAATATGCCTCATTTAATGTAAAATGTTAATTAGCCACTATTTAGCTTACAAGAGCCACCTTGGCCAAATATATTTATTTTTAACTTAAAATTTAATACTTAGAGTAGATAGAGTCATTTAATACTTGTGTTTTAACGCTTCGCAAATAAATCTAAACCTATATATATATATATATATATATGCCTTTATCCTATTGACCTAGTAGCATGGACTTAGTTAGAAACAAGGTGTAAGAGTAAAATTATACTTAAAAGCAAAAATTAAGGTATCGTATATATTTTAATCATTATACAAATTGGCACCAAATGATTTACATAACTAATATGACAAAAAAAAATAAGAACAAATATTATTTGTGCTCATTTAATAAAAGGCAACCACAAATAATACTAACATAACTTGTATCTTTAAATTATGGTAAGTTAAAGTCATGTAGACCTCGTCTGTGGTTAAGCGAGAAAATGTTGCAGACGAGCTTATACGAATTGAGTGGTCTGGTTTTCGTGTCACGAAACCTTCTTCGATTCTTCGTTAATAGATTGATATCATGATGAATAAAGTTAATACGATTATAGTTTAACTCTTGAAAAAATTACTATGACCTACAAAGAATATGGGGGAATATAAAAAGGTAAAGTACATATTTCGAAAAAAAAACAGCCATTAATTTGCCTGAATTAATGCTCGACATGGACCAGCAATCCCATACAAAGTTCTGAACAAGCTTGTTGCTTGTTTGGAACAATCAGTGGCCGAGTCAACGAAGCAATTATTCGTTTTTATTACTTTAAAACTGAGTGCACATCAAGTTGATAGACAAACTCAAAATCTTTCCAACTTATCTGACACTAACAAAACATTGGGCTTATTAAACTAAAGTGTACTGCAGTTAGGTAACATAAATTCCAATGTCAATGATTATAATACAGTTACAGAAGTAGGGAGATATTAAAAATAATAATAATAAATTTTACTCCATTTATCTATTTTTATCTAGTAAACCAGCGAGTTAACTAAAAATAATTATTATTGGTAGGTAGTTAGTTGTTTTGATTTTGACGGAAAGTGTTTGTCGTAAAGAATAGTCTTTAAACTTGCTGACCCTTTTCCTTAGCAGTTTTTTTTTAAACTGCTTATTTTCAACAGTGTTTTTAGCTTCGAAGCCTTATACTACGACGGAAAAACAAATAAATAAAAGCTAGAAGTACGAAACAAATAAATAAAGGCCCTTGAAATACAACGCTTTCAACATAATCAAACATCTGATCTCTTACGTTTGATCAGAATAAAAGCATATGCTTTCAATCCGTTTGATAAAATTTAACTGTGTTCCTCTGTCTCACTTGTGAAACATAGTTTTGTGTATCAAAAACCTTTGTTACACGTGCTCAATACTTCATCAAACTTGTTATTAGGGTCAGATCCTAAACAGAGCAGATGTGCTAGCTATTTTTCATTAGAGAAAAGCCCAATACATAAGTTGATCTGTAACGACCAGTATAATTTATATATTTTATCTATTTGTATAAATTGTCCAATTCTTTTTTTAGGCAGTAATCCACTCCTAACAAAACCTAGTAAGTGCATGTGACTTGCTAGGTTTTGAAGTAGTAAAGGCGAGTTACTAGGTTTTTGATATAGTATAGTACACTTACTAGGTTTCATGATGTTAAAATATCTGGTGTTTATAAGATTTTTATGGAGGTTCGAAATAAGTACAAAAGGCTATTTAAAAAAAAACGACTTTTTAGTATTTCTAGTCAATTAAATAAAACGGCATTTTACCATATTGTAGAGGAAGTAACGATTGATGCTACTAAAGCACCTGACGAAATTCAATAAAACCACTTCTCTTTCGGCCAAACCAACAAAAAAATTAGGAAATGTAAACAGTAATAATTTTTAGTTTTAATATGCAGGTGTAATTAAAATCAATAAAGAAAAAAACCATTAAATACATTGTTTTTTTGCGACTTTCACCTAATGGTAAGTGACTATCACCGCTAATGGACACCTGCAACGCTATAATCACAAGTGCAATGCCGCGCTTTGAGTCCTCTCCCCAATTTAGAATCAGCCGGAGGAGAGTTTGGGCTCCGGTAACCTCACTAACTCCGTAAAAAGCAACGAAAGAATTGCTTAATACCTGTTTTCTATGAGGACCTGGTATCACTCCGGTGGAGTTTGGCCTGTTGCTAGTTCCAGGGTATTAGTCTTCGCTACGTTCACCGCCAGTCTCCTGTCCTTCAGCCAACTAAGAAGGGCGTCTAGAGTACGCAGCATCTTGGTAGCAGCTTTGGCACCATTTATCGACGTCGCGATGTAGGCAGCGTCTTCGGTGTACAGCGCAAGTTTAACGCCGTCGGTGACGGGGATGTCGTCTGTGTACCAAGAGTAGCACACGGGAGACAGGCAACTTCCCTGTGGTGCACCGGCACAGATGGGTCGTTCAGTAGACAGGGCGCTTTCAACCGCCACTTGGAAACGTCTGTCCTGCAGGACAGACGTTTTCAACATTCAATTTCAAACAAAACATTCAATTTTTCAAACATTCATCATTGATGCTCCGCTCCTATTATCTGTCTGTATATGTCTTAGCGTGATGATATATAGCCTATAGCCTTCCTCGATAAATGGGCTATCTAACACTGAAAGAATTTTTCAAATCGGACCAGTAGTTCCAGAGATTAGCGCGTTCAAACAAACAAACAAACTCTTCAGCTTTATAATATTAGTATAGATGTTAAAATTTAATCAAAAGCGATTTATATTAGGATGATATTGGATTTTATACATTTCTTTCTCTATACCTTCGGTATTCAATTGGTTAAGTGGTAGAGTTTGAGGAAACTAGGTGCGAGCATTGAACTTAAATGTAACATCTTATTCAATTTATACATATGTATTTTATTTATTACGGCACTATTTTCTTGTCAACTTTCTCAATAACTTTGAATAACATAGGACGTGTTATATGTTTGGACTTGGGTTTCTGCCTCACATTTAAATGTATAAAGGATGTGAAAAGTAAATGTTTTATTAATTTTTATTACACCGATATATTAAACTGGTTTTATACGTACATTTAAGTTGAGGATATTTATGATATTGATACGTATGGAATTTAGAAGAGTACAACGTCAATTGATATCTTGAGCCGTTTATACCACGGTGCGAATCAAATGGACGCTTTTTGAAGACGTCGTTTGGGATCATGGTGTAAATCGACGTACCTATATCTTTTATTAAGTCGTCAATTCGTATTGTGGTGTGATTATTCGCTAATGAGAAGATGCTAATCTACAGATATAAAACATATCGTATGTTTGTATTCTTATTATATCACTGAAACCAAAGTATTCGTACTATTTGAAGGAAAATTATGAGTTTGCTAGAGGAATACTGTCATCTTAAATCTTTTAGATAAACATTATATGCAAAATAAAGTGCTTAAAATATGCATGTAAATAAGCAAGAAAAAACTGTTAACATTAAAGTTTTAGAAAACGAAAAAAGTGGCAGGTTACATTTTTTTTATTTCTCTTAATCAGCATAGAAAAAGTGATCAATTCAATCGGAAATTATCATTGTCAAAATGTAACAACTTTTTAGATGACAATAATGCACTGAAAAGAAACAAATATTTAACATTTTTGTAAACGTAAACAATCATTTAGGTAGATGTTCTAAGTAAATCATAGTCTTAAATCAATTAAATTATTTTTAGAAGTGACAATTTTTAGTGTAGATGTGCCAAATGTATAGAGGTTATCAATACGGTAACCTAACGAAAAATGTTATAAATGTAGTGAAAATATACATCATCTAGATATTAAATGTAATATTCAATTGCCGGCGAATAGGGAAAAAATGCAATTTCTATGCAAATATGCACATGCATAACATAATCCGATCTCAACTTATAAGAGTCAAATTGGTATTTTTTGTCGATAAATAAAAAAAATAGGTTGTTTAAATTATAACAACTTTTAAGGGAAGATGTCAAACAAGAGTTTGTCAAGTTGTTGTGAAAAGTGTAGCAACATTTTAATAAGCAGAATCACTGAGCTTATGCTCTAAGCTCTCGAAATGCTTTTTAATTAGTCTGTAGTATTCAAAGTGACCTTTATCAACCTTAAGATCGCTGAAGATAACATATAAAAATAGAAAGTCCACTCAGTCCAATAACTGCGTGGGCTGCCTATATGTCTATGTGTGTTATTCACACATAGTCCCGAGTCTACTCGTATGTAACATTTCTGAAGACATAGTGTTCGGTCTTAGTGCAGAAGTTGTCTTTTGTTAATACACATCTTGTTTTTGCCATTGTAAAAGTATTGTATTTATTTTTATAAACGATCTGTAATGTTGGAAGGAATTTTGAACAAACTCAATGAGCTTCTAAATTACTAAACTCTAATTTAAGACTTCTCAGTAGATAAGTTTTATGTAATGTAGTCACATAGTTCACTGTGCTGAGGTTTGATCAGTTATGTGTGATCATAAATTTGTGTCAGATGAACTATAAAGAACCAACAAGTACGTGTTTTTCTAATTTGGTTTAAAAACAAGAGTATTATCACAATCTGTTCTGTTAATTAATGTGTGTGTTATTTCATGTTTTCGAAATGCATAGACTTTGAAAATACAAACATTAAGTTTTATTAACTAGATTTAATAAATAAAATTTATTTAAAATGTCCGTATCGTGACGGATTTA